CAGACACACATACAGACACACATACACGCACACACATACACACAAACACACACACACAAACACACACTTACTTACTTACTTACTTACTTACTTACTTACTTACTTACTTACTTACTTACTTACTTACTTACTTACACACATACATACATACATACATACATACATACTTACTTACTTACTTACTTACTTACTTACTTACTTACACATACATACATACATACTTACTTACTTACTTACTTACTTACCTACTTACTTACTTACTTACTTACTTACTTACTTGCTTGTTTGCTTACTTACTTACTTACTTACTTACTTACTTACTTACTTACACTTACTTACACACACACAGACACTTACTTACACACACACACTTACTTACACTTACTTACTTACTTACTTACTTACTTACTTGCTTGCTTACTTACTTACTTACTTACTTACTTACTTACTTACACATACACACACACACGTGGGCACAACATCAAAATTGAATAAATATGCCAGCAGCATGAATCCCGAATTCTTGAACCCTTAAACCAAATCATTAAACTGCATAACCCCAAGCCGATTGTATTGCATACTCCATCCCTTGTGTAGGAGGTGGAGAAACGTCTCAAACGAGAGGCCGGGGATTTGCTGGATTGCCGATGCCCGGCTGGAAGGGTTCAAGGGTCTAGGAGTTAGGATGTATGGTTTTAGGGTTTAGGGTTTATGTTATTAGGGTTTAGGGGTTTAGGGTTTAGGGTGTGGGGAAGATGGAAGTAACATTTCAGGATCTGGGCACTTTGGGGACTAGCAGTACACATACTCCTTGAGCTGTAACCCCTAACACTAACCCTAAACCTAAGCCGCGAAAACTAGCGCAGATGCCGAGACAACACAGGCTGCGGTCCGAGTCAAGGTGCTTCCTCGAGCCGACGCCTAAGTACTTTAGGGCTTAAGGCTTCAGGGTTTAAGGGTTTATGTTTTTAGGGTTTAGGGGTTTTGGTTTTGTTGGTTTAGGGTTTTCGGGTTTCCAGAACTTTTGCGGGCAAGCACACAATCTTCGAACTTGCAACGCCAACCCCAAACCCGGCACGAGACCCAAGTCCCCGAGGTCCATCGACGGATTTCAGACCTCGAGGATGCTGAACCCGAAGCTGTGTACCCCGAAACTGTAAGTCCTAGACCCTAAACCCTAAACCCCTAAACCCCTAAACCCTAAACCCAAGACCCCACACCCCCGAGAACCTAATCCTCTAAAGCCTTACTATAGGAGCTTAAATAAGTTCATGTACTATTTTGGGGTTCCTTATTCGAAACATAGTAGAATATTCCCCAAAACCTTATTCTAATCATGAAGGCCCCTACATTAAGCCCTGAAGTCCAGCAAAGGAAATGCGGAGGCTCCGGAGATAGAGATTGAGCTGCATGAGGGCAAGGCTGCGATCTTCAGGGTTTGTTTCCCTCTCGGGGTGTCAGGGTTTCGGGTGTAGGGTTTAAGGTCTAGGGTTTAGGGTTCAGGGTTTGGGGTGCTTGAATTTTCAGGTTGAGGTTTGGAGGTCGTGCATGTCCGTTTTGGCAGGAAGGGAGCAATCAAGTTGTGTACGGTGTTTGGATTTGGGTGTGTAAGGTTAGATTATGGAGCCTTATATGAAGGTCCTTAATAATAAGACCTCAGTACTGACATCCGAGCTTGAGAATTGGGCTTTTTGTTGTTGTCAGCCTCTGTCCGAGCTTTTGGATCTAGCTGCGTCAACCTTAAATCCTGACGTCCCACGCGAAGTGCCAATAAGCTGGCCGCTTGACCCGAGATCCTGATTGTCTGACCCTGTGCTTGCGCATCACAAAGTAAGTGGAGGGAAAGCTGCCAATATCCGGACCGTCACCTTTGAGGGAGGGAGGGGAGGGAGGGGAGGGAGTTGCGCGGAAGGTGATCACCTTGTATCCCTTCAACTACATGCGTCGCCTGCCGCTGCGGGAGGGCGTCTCCGTGGGATCTTCAGGAGGCCTGTAATCCGGACTCTTAGGCATAATGTAGGGGTTGAGGGTTTAGGATGGCTTGAAAATTGAGTAACCGTATTCGCCTAAAGAAGCCCTGTTGTGGCCATATAGTAACTAATCGTAACTATCTCCCCAAGCCCTGTTCTGGTGTTTGAGGCCCCTGTCTTCGAGATGCCTGCTTCGAGGTATCTACAGCGCTGCTCCGGATTCTTCGAAGCTTCAGACAAACATGGAGCACAATGCTCTTAAAGCTTTCCCTTATGGGAGGCCTTAGCACCTGAAGTGACAAAACCTTGACGCCCCCACAAAAGGTAGTGATGAAAGTACAGGTCTTGTGCAAGGTCTCCACATCAGGCAATAGGGTTTTCAGCCGGTGCTCTGGAACTCTGAAAGGTTGGATTCCCAAGGGACGGCGTCATGCTTGTAACGGGACCTTAGGCAGGGACGCTGACTTAGAAAGCCTCACAGCATCCATTAGCCGATGCTTCGGAAGAGACTCCGATGCCTCAAATCCGACTCCAGAGCCCGGAACCCTAAAATCACAAAACCCTAAACCGCAAACCTTAAAGTAACCCACAAACCCGTGCAGTATGGCCCGGCTGCATGTGCGCCGACCCCCTTGAAACCCCCAAGATCCTGTAAACCCACTTTAGGGTTTAGGCTTTTTCTGTAGCGGTTCAGGGTTTAGGGGGTTTAGGGGTTTAGGGTTTAGGGATAGTAGCACCTGGTAGTTAAAGGAATGCTCCAAGGAGCCCTTTTCGACATTTTGCGCTGGAGGTGTGCAGCTGAAACAGGCCGGGTCTCCGGCGACGGAGTCTGTGGTGCTCCTGCAAGGCAGGGACCCCTTTCTTCAGCGTTAGGATCCCTGCAAACTCCGGTATTATTGGGTTGATACACCCACCCCCCTTACAGCTCCAGTGTTAGAGTAGTATTAAAGGGTGCCCCAAAAGCTCCATATTCCAGATGCTTGGTCTGAACCTTTCGGGGGTTTGAGGGCTTTGGATGGGTGGTTTGGAGGTTCATGGCTGGTTCTCCAATGCCTGATCTTTATGCTTAGACTTTTCGGGCTGCTCTTATCCTAAACCTCAAGCCCTCAACCTCGGACCCTGCACCGGAAATCCTAAAGCTTGGGCCCAAAAGCCCTGACTCCTAAACCTTAAACCCTCAACCGACTCCCAGGTGTTGAAGCGCTGCAACTATTCACCCAAACTCCAAGCCCCTACTCCCCACTCCCATCAATCCCCCCCTTCGCCCGGTGATATGCAAAGCCAGCTTAAATACCATAGGCCAACTACATTGGATCCCATAAACCTCTTGAAGAATCCCGAAAGATCCTTTAAAAGGATCCCTGAATGAACCCCTTCATCGGACCGTTGGAGGAGATGGCATGGCAGCCGCGCCGTCACCTCCCGTGCCGGTACAGGGGAGCCCCGGCCGAACGTAGAGGTGGCAGTGCTCATAAAATATGTTGGGCTCTAGGGTGGTTATACAATTTCATGGGGTTTTGAGGTTCAAGGTTCAAGCTTTGGGGCTCAAGGACTAGATTTAGCTTCTACGTTTAGGGTTTGGGGAATAGCGGAGTACTTGGGGTGTAGAGTTCATGCCGGCGTGGATTCCAAGCATTCCCATTAGTATAGTCGTAGTGAGCGAGTCAAGATTGATATAGGCTTATTGACAAGTTACTATAAGCAAGAGTCCTAGATCCTATCCTTTCTCAGGTTTGCCTGTACCCATATTGACAGATGTGGTTTAACGATTCCTAGCTGTTGCTGTTGCAGTGATTGTGAAGACATGACCTTTGGAACTGTAGAAAGGGCAAAGTGTCGGTGTATACTTCCCTTTGGCATCTTCGCCTCGCAGGCACGTGGCACCAAAAGCTGGAACATGCAAACAGCAGATCCTGCTTCACAGACTTATCTCAGGAACCCCCGAGAGCCCAAAGATTCTGATCCAAGAATAAATCCCAGAACCCCGAGACCTAGCCACTCAATGCTAAAGCCTGAAGTCCAAGATGCATGACTCATGTGGACCCTTAGGGGGGAGGGGGGTAGGGGCCGTAATTAGGACCTAATAAGGTCTATCGAAGGAAGTATAGTCCGCACCCCCCTTACCCCTCTAAGGGGTCCCTATGACTGACGAAAGGAATAATTCGGAACTGCCCGTGGAGCGGCATTGCAGCCCTAGACTCATGGCAGTGACCTGGAGGAAGCGTCAGGCTTAAAGCTCGTCGGTTCTGCATGGGCTGCGGTTGAAGTGGCGTCTGTAGGGCTTTAGCGGGTTTAGGGCTCACGGTTGAGTGGTAGTTGTGGTTGAGGTTTTTCAGTGAGGCCAATTCCGGTTTCTTGATTCGAGGATTGACTTTAAGTTTGGATTTGCAGGGTTTAGCGGGTCGAGCGACCCTGGTTGGATTTCAGGGCCTGGGGCTTAGAACCTCCCCCCATCTGCATGCACGGTTCAGACGTCTGAGACCGTGAAGCCGAAGGAGCCGAAGATGTACTCTAATTATAGGTTACCAAAAGGGAGGCTTGCTACTTTCGACGACGTCGGGAGCCATCTACCAACACATGTCTAGTGCCGCCATCCCGAACCACCATGTAGCCTAAACCCGGAACCTCAGACATCAAACCCATAAACCTTGCGAAACCGAGAGAAAACCGTATACCAACCTAAAGGGAAGCTTTATAGCTCTGGAGCCCGCCACACAACCTTTCAGACCTCTTGTAAACCTCTCATAGACCCCGAATGCCTCTAAAACATCTTAAATCCGATAAACCCAGCCCGGAGGAGGCCTCAAAAGCCACCGAAAAGCTCTCAAAAGTCCTGAACTAAGCTTTAGCTGTTAAACAAAAACCTTTAAACCCTAAACCCTAAACCCTAAACCTTTAAACCCTAAGCCCTAAACCCTAAACCTTTAAACCCAAAGCAATAAACCCTAAACCTTTAACCCCTAAACCCTCAACCCTAAGCCTTTAGACCCTATATAAGCCCCCGCAGAAAAGGTGAAGCTGCCCGAGCCCCTGGGCCCAAAGCTCTTCATCCTCGGCGAGCCGGTTCTTCATCGCTGCCTGGCCGTTGGGTAAAAGGAGTGGGCTGAGTCTTCGCTTCTTTGCCTAAAGGTGCTACTATAGGGGCCCAAATCATTACTAATACCAGTTTGGCGCTCCTTATCATAATTATTGTATAATATACCCCAAAACCCCATTCTAGTTCTTAAGGCCCCTATGTTAAAGGTGCTACGGTGTTTTCCAGGTTTAGGGTTTAGGGTTTCTATCTGGCTCGCCGTGGGGTGTTCTATAGGGTTGATGCAGGGGTTCCCCAAGCTTTGCTTTTCGTGTGCATAGAGGACCATTCAGGGCCTTAGGGGCCGTAGCAGTCGGGCGGGAAAACTAGGGAATATGTTTTTCCTCAGTGTTTCTCGTTATAAACGCACGATGATTTACACCGAAACTCTATTGAAATTGTCAACATCCGTACATTGGAGGGGTTAGGGTTTGGGCTTTAGAGCTTCAGGGGTCAAGGGGTTTAAGGGATTTGGTGGAGGGTCCGTGCTGCAAGGATTGGGCAGTTCTTTTGGGGGAATGGGGGAAGGGATCCTTGTGATAGTCCCTTGAGGTCCCCCAGACTAGTCCCTATGACCCACTCCCCCATTCCCTACTGAGGATGAGGGAGGAAAAGGCCTTAAACCCTAAACCCTAAATCTCTTATGCGCCGCTTAAATCTCAAACCTTATACTCCCGTACCGAACCCTTATAGCGAGGAGCCCTACATCCGTGAACTCTTAAAGGTTACTACACCGTCTACGATTGGGAGCAGACGAAGGCTGGCAGAGAGAGATGTTGGTCCTACGGCCCCAAACTACTGTAGCAGCTTGACCAGTTACCCATGGTTTCCTTAGGGTTGCCGTATCTTCGTGCAATTTTACTACAACTTAACCTCCAAACCCTGTCCTAACTATTAAGGCACCTTTTTTGGGGGGTTGTCAGCACTGAGTCCTGCCGGCTGGAAGCCCCGCCTAAAGTCAGACCGCTACCTGCATGGGAAGCAGGTCTACACCTGAAATCCTCTTGCAAAGAGGGTTTTTACAAAAACCCCTTAAGGGTTCCTTTTAGGCTTTCTATACGGGTACTATAGGGTTTAGGGTTTCTCCTTGTCCGCGCCACGTACGCTGCCTGGAAGATAGAGCCTTGCATGGCGCATAGCAGTCTTCCTGAGAATCTCGATGTCGTAGGGCTAGACCCTGAAGCCCTGCTCTCAGTGTCGAAACGCAGGGCATTGCGCTCAATAGTAGACTGTTCTGATGTCCTTTCTCCCGTGGCTGAAGGAAAGAGCTCGCTTCTCATGCAAGGTATGTAATAAGTCGTACAGCGGTTCTGTTGCATCTGAACTAATTGGCTTATTGCGTGTACTGTTGATTCAATGCAATGCCAAGAGCCATCCTTTTGCAGGTGGGTTTCGCTTTGGCCAATAGCCGACAGAATCTTGGCAAGATAGCTGCCACGTCGTGCAAAGTCCTTCACTGAAGCTAGGCCCCACAGCTTGAATTCCAACCCCATAAACGTGAAGCACATGAACCCACTTTGCATTGTGCCCCAAACCAGAACCCCATGGACACAATCCTGTGTTGCTTCGGGCAGCCAGTGTTACATGGGAGGAAGCGAGGAAGGTAACCAACAGACGATGAATGCAACCCTAAACCCCTAAACCCAAAACCCTCAACTTTGAAAGTTGTGGTCAAGAGTGCGAACCCAAGGCCCCTTTGAAGCCGCAAGCCCAACGTAATGAGCTTAAGCATAGAACATGGCCAGAAAGCCGAAGCGGGTTGTAATGATCGTAAGGTTTGAAACGAGCACGGTCTAAAGCCGTTGTAGTGACCTCTCCCGAGGAACTCATTGGATCCCGCCGCCCTCCGCGGCCAGAAGGGTGAACTGCCCAAGGAGGTGCTGAGCGCGGCTGCGAAAGGGTTTAGGAGTTTCGGGCTTCATTTAGAATCTTGAACAGTTGCCAAAACTGTCCCTGAGGGTACCACCGTATATACAGAAACATGAAACCCAAGACGACGAAGGTTCTAGGAAGCAGAAAGGAATGCCAATACACACAGCAGTAGTGGCTAGGTCTAGATGAGTGCAGGGGTCAGGGTTTGGGATTCCTTCTCTTGTACCACACCAAAGGCATCGCCAACAGATCAGGATTTAGGGGCAGCCCTTATTATATATATATATATACACATACATACATACATACATACATACATACATACATACATACATACATATATATATATATAGTCGATATTGTCAGACACCCAAGCCCCATTCTAATTATCAAGACCCCCTATACCAGCCGCCTTAGCCCAAGATCTTCTCTTGCGCTGCTCGCCTGCTTCCACAGTAGCGCTTCGTCTTGTGACCTTGAGCCCTAAAACCCTGAACCCCTGTAAGCCCTAGACCCTGAACTCTCTCTCTCTCTCTCTCTCTCGCATGTGGCTGTCCGGAGCATCACAACATGCAGGCCAAAAACGACGGAGTCGCAGCCAAGTCCTGGACCTTAAATCGACCCTACACGCTAAACCCAATGCGGACCCGGAAAGGTCGGCTTTATGCGCCAAGTTCCGCCGTCTGCTGCTGTTAAACCCTCAATTCGCATGGGCTCGCATTTAACAGATTTTTGATTGGGTGAGACCCTGAACATGTGCTCTTCATGGGTGCTGCCATCCTGTCTAGGACTCAAGAGACACACATTGCAGTTTTTTCGTTTTGGACGCAAGCGACAAAGCTTAATTTGGGGCTTGCAAAAGTATCGTAGGTTTCCGGATATATTATGGTGTGATGAGTCATCCAGGCCCCTATATTGAACTGCAGGCGCTCTGAGATTGTTCCGCTCCTGCTTCTGCGAGGTGGATATGCTTCTCATGCAGCAGCAGATGAAGGTGACCCGAAGCAAGGTGGGAGTGTCAGAACATGGGTGACCCATGATCCCTGATAATGTAGGAACCTGAGTAAAAAACCCTGGCCCTATAACCCCAAAATAGTAAGATTCACATTAAGAACCCCCTAGTGAGGGCTCAGGGTTTCTTATATCAGGAACCCCCCTAAATTAAAAAAACACATAATATAATGTGTATATATATATATGTATATATATATATACATATATATACAGAGAGAGAGAGAGAGAGAGAAAGAGCAACACCAGAAACCCTATATCCGACAACTCCAAAGCCCGAAGCCGCCCCGTTCTCAACCTAGTTTTGAAGCCTCAGAACCCAAAGCCTTAATCCCGCCTTCCACTACAAACTCGAAGCCTTGACTCCCCCAAAGAACACTAAACCCTACTAAACCCTAAACCCCAAAGAACCTCAAACTATAAACCCTAAACCCTAAACCCCCAAAGAACAGCCCCCTACTTCTTCGAAAGCCCTCAGGTGGTGGACGGGGATTTGGAAGAGGAAACGCTCTTCCTACAGGCGGAATCCAGCTCTTATCTTGAGGCTTAGGGCTTCAGGGTTTTACAGTTTAAAGTTCACCATAGAAGCCTAAAGAATTACCAAAATGATTCCGTAGGGTTCCTGATTACATAAAACTATACTATAAAGGAGCCCAAAACCCTATTCCAATTATGCAGGGGCCTTTTTGTTTGAGCTCTCTGAAATCGCAATCCTGACGCTGACAAACGAGACCGTCGGCCTGTCAGGTACAGGTGCACGTGACTCTCAAGACGATATAGGGCAATCTGGACTGTATCTTGGCACCAAAATGTCATGAAGCAGCCTGAAACCCCAAAGTAATATAGGGGCCTACATAATTAACTACCAATACTATTGGGGGGGGTTCTTTCATATAAATATAGCATAAGAAATTATAAAGGCCCCTATACTAGCTGCTTTACTGCACCCGACACACAGCAGTCCCTTAACGAAGTGTCTTCTCTCACCTGCCGGCCTGCTGGAGCTCCAGGAACTAGACCCGCAAGTTGCAAACGCAAGAGAAGCTCCGAGCAGAATGTGAAGCATCTGAATATGTTTGCTTTTGGCATCCACATTGAACCTCATGGCAAGTGCGGGTCATCGACACAATGCGGGATGCTGTCATATCGAGAGTGTTCGGCTGGAAACAAGCACCGAGACCTAGCCTTTACCATTGTCGACATCGCGATCGCCATCAGTGATCAGCCCTGTCGCCATGAACATCATAATTGTCAGGAGCCGCAGCATCATCATGTTTAGTTCGCGTATCTACAGCATCACCACCACACACCCACAACGGCCAGAATACGAACAAACTCCAAAGTCACATGTGTGCCCGCAGCGTCATGACGAAGCAGAGAAGCACGCACAGTATCAGCCAAAGAACAGGCAGTCGTGGATTGCGTATTTCCATCTTTGCAGCCATGAGCCGAGGAGACTTCCATGAGCTCAGCTGTTCGCCGTCGGACAGCGAATTGCCCTTGCACTGTCAGTCAGTGCAGCGTGCACACTAAAGTCCACCCAGAGTGCCCAATGTCTCTTGACTCGGGAATCTTCCTGAAACTACAACAGAACTCGGATGTGTATCTTCAGGCTCATTCCCGATCCGACCGATATTGCTTTCTCTGGGCGCGGTAGTGCCGAAACTTGGTACATCGTGTTCGCATCAGCGATCCCTGCTCTGGAAAAAGGCCTGTTGATGACATCTTGCATCCCGTCAAAACGACGGCTAGACAGGAGCACGGTATGAGCTGCAGGCTGGACTCTTTCTCTGTTGTTTTTTTTGGTGCTCAATGTCATGTAAGTAGGCTGCAACGGTGTGCCGACAAGCATACATTTCAGGCGGTGGCAGCCTTGCACGCAGTTTCGATGGTTCGAGCTTGAATGAGGCCCGTCATTCCATGACGACAGCTCGCAGTACCGCCTGAACACTCACTGCAGCTTTGATGGCCATTGCATCCAGATGTGCTCCTCGCATGTTTTGGTATGTGATGGCTCAGCGATGGCTTTTGTCTTACCCCTCAGATCCTCCGGCCAATCGTCGTCGTAGCGGCAACAGCAGCAGTCGTGATGGCAATCGCCAATGTCATCATTGCGAGCCCTTCTACGTCTTCAGAGTAACCTGCGACTCAGATATCTCAAACCCACACCAACCCGACCCAGAGAAGCCTTGAGCTCAGAACCCTCAAAGCTGCAATGCCTATATTATATATGCGAAGACTCAACTACACAGGCATTTTTTCCCAAAGCAGTATATACGCATGTGTAGCTTGCTTCGTTCAAGGGGGCTACCGCCCACAGCCAGAGCTTCAGTGTGCCAGGAAGAACACCTTCATACACATCCCTTGCAGCAGCTTCAGCGACTCTGAGAACGAGGAGTGTGTGGTATGCTCCTTCAAGAGGCCTGGCTCAGCCGGACAGGGGTTCCGGGTTGAATCTGATCAATCCATTGATTGGGTTTTTGTTAATGAATTTCGGTGATTGTTTTATGCATGTTTAGGGTTTTTGTTTATGAATTTTAGGGGGGCCGCGGGTGTGCAGTGAAAAGTTTCTTCTTGGGAATGTTAGAGTTGTGAATCTTCGATGAGACATTTCCGCGTTTTTATTTGTTGTTGAAAGTGCGGCCAGTGCACTTCTGTAAGCACGTCGCATGGTTATGCAAACTGCCCCGACCGACCGCCGAGGGATCAAGGAGTGCTCCATCCCGGGTGAAACCGGCCTGGAACCGGCAGAAGCCAAGCTTCAAGAGTAAACTGTGAACCCTAGACCAGATGAGCACTTTGACCGATGCTTCCTGGTAGGGCAAGATCCAAACAGACCCCAACATGCACAGGGCACCCAACACCCCTCAAAAGAGGGTTTAGTGGGCACTCGAGCGCACCGAAGTCCCCGATCCGCAAACGCAGGTCCCGCTCCTTCGACGCTGCCTCTCTGTAGCTGACGGAGAAAGGGCGCACCAGAGTTGCTTTGCTCTGCTGGTGGGAACGCTGCTGCGGATGTTATGTTGGCTTCTGATTGTGATACTGGCATGATGATGGTTGCCGCACGTGGTGGAGATGGTCATGATGCAGATGATGGCAGGTGGCAAGGCACAGCCAGTGCGCTAGGCTCGAAACCTAGGCCACCTAGGCCAAGTGCGTCAGACCCGAAAGCCCTAGGCCTTGGTATTCGCCTTGTTGCCGCTATCATCAGCGTGGCTATCAGTTTGTTCTTCTTGTGAGCACTATTGCTTTCCTTACTTATGATGTTTTTTGGCACTCACGTTCTGCTATTGTGATCCTTTCTGGCCTTGTTACTGTTGCTGCTTGAACCCTGAACGCCAACTCCCGAAGCCCTTCCCGGTTTGGGCGTGTGGCTGAGTCTAGACCCCTGATTCATAAGCCCCGCTACCTGAAAAGGGAGTACATTACGGGGGCCGAACACAAAAGGCCCCGTAAAGAAGAAGCGGGCTTCGCATATCGAAGCCCCCGAATCAGGATTTTGGGAGACAGGAGCCTCAGCCAAAGAGGTCTCTATATCTCTTCGATCATGTCTGTAGGGTCCCAAAGGGTAGTTCTCCAAATAAGGGTTCTTCTGTAGGTCCCCAATCTAGTGTGGCAGCCGTGTAAAGCGGGCCCCCCAAAAAAACACAAATTTAGAGAACTACCCTTATATATCTTTATAAACTCCCCAAACCCTACTGTAGTGGATAAGACCGAATAAGAGCCCTTTGAAATATGATAAAGAGTTTAAAAAGGTAGTAGACAGAAACGCACAAAATCCCACCCTAAACCACATAACCCTAAAACCCTAAACCCTAAACTCCTAAACCAGAAAGCCCTAAGTCCTAAACGAGACAGGCTCTGAAGCCCCCCGCAGGCAGCTGGCCATCCTCAATCGCGGTCTCGAGCTCCTACGCGTTGGGGGCCGGATCGCAGGGGCCTTTTGGAGCGTCCCTTCTTGGGAGGTTCAGGTTTAGGGTTTAGGGTTTATAAGGTAAGGGGGAGGTTCAGGGGTAGTTATAGATGGGGTTATAAGTAGGGTAACCATACATAATGTTATAAGCCATACTAGGGGACTTATAACTCCATTTATAACTACCCATGACCCTCCAAGTTTGGGGGCGCACTGGCTGGGTTTAGGGGTTTAGGTGCTTAGGGGCTTAAAGGGTTGAGGGGTGTAGGGGTTTGGGGCTCAGGGCTATTATTCAATCTCGGTTGGGTAGGGGATATTAAAGGGGTGTTGGGGTTTGGGATGCATTATATGATAAGTATATTCGGAAACCAGCGGTCAAAGTGTCAAAAGCTGAGCGTTGCGGGTTTAGGGCTCCATGAGAACCTGCACGTCCATCAGCCCGCCGAACTCCCAAGCCCTAATAAAATCCACAAGCCCAGAAGTAGCAGGCTTAGACCTTTGGGTTTAAATTAGAGTTTTGCTAGTGTTCTAAGAGGGATTGCTAAAGGCGGTTGTAAGTAACACATCCTCAGACCCTTTGTTAGCCACTGTTAGCCTTTGTTGGAGTTCGAAGAGGTTCAATAAAGGGCGTTATTCTAATTCATAAGAGATCCGCAACCAGGAGCCTTAATCCCAAACCCTGACCCCTAGGCCCTAAACGCTGTCCCCTAAACCCTGAACGCTGACCCCTGACCGCTAAACTAAACCCTAAACCCTGACAGCACTTCTTCGCCTGCCGGCCCCTATCTTAGTAGCAGTTTGGGTTTAGGGCTTAGGGTGTTAGGGGAACTGTAATCCCCATATAATCCCAAAGGTCTCTAGCTCCCCATGATTCTGGACAAGTAGGTTACAGTAACCCGACCCTTACATTGAGCATAGTAGCCCCGATAGAACCAGTACAGGAAGCCCATTTGAGGTCTACAGCACGTGCAGCCTGAACCCAATCGAGGACGAGGTTCGGGCAATTGCTGTAGGCTCCAGAACTCGTCATGCTATTCCTGAGGGTTCCTTACTCTACCCATACTACAACATGCCCCCGAAATCGCAGGGTTCAGGGTGTAAGTGTAAGGTTTAGGTTATAATTGCCAATAGTAAGGATACTTTGTAGCAGTATGACATTCTAATGATTACCGTGACACCAACCTCCTTTTCTTCACATCTCCTTAGTGCCGAAATCTTGGGTCACGACGTCCAAAAGCCTGAGCCACGGATTCGACAGCCCGGCAAAGCGATGAACCGCAAGCCTGAACCATCTTCAAAATTGAAGGCCCGCGGAATCCTTGCATACCCCAAAACCTCAAATCCTACCCAGAAACGGCCACAATTCCCGAAACCCCGCGAGGCCGTGGTGGCGGCGCTCCTCCATCGCCATGGAGCTGCCGTAGAGTGGCTCGGTCACAAGCTCGCTTTGGGATTTGCACATGCGGCTGCGGCCGCAACAAGCGTTTCTACCAACTGTGATGGGCTTCGAGTTTACACGCATCGATGTGGGAGGTTTTTCCTTCGGCCGCAGGAGCTTTCTGCGGGGCGATCTTCATGTCCACGCAATCTCAGATCCCAGGCTCCAGATGTTTGTAAACCCTGAGCGCTAAACCGTCCAGGATCTCCCACGAGAAGAAGTTCTGAAGGCGGCATCAGAGGCCCCCAAAATAATGTAGGAGCCTTGATAATTAGAATAGGGTTTGGGGTATTTTCATTATACTACAACTATAATAAGGACAGTATTGGTAATTATTTAGGCTTCTATATTACCGGGAACGAACCCGGGACTAACGCGAGCAGCTTCTGCAGAGGGACAGCCGCGTGGCTCGAAGTCTTCAACGCGCACTCCAATATAGGGGCCTTATAATGCTTGCCCTATACTATTTGGGGGGAGTTCCTTAGTATAGTTAAAGTATAGTGTACCCCAAGACCCGATTCTAATTATTAAGGCCCCTACCTAGACCCGAAAGCCTACAGTTCCCCACAGCTCCCCACAGACCGAAAGCCACTTCCCCACTTAGCTCGTCAGGCTCGTGCCACCGCCGGGCAACCTCGGCCCCAGCCCGCAGATTCGGGTCGGGGTTCAGTTTTCGGGGGGGGGGGAGGGGGGGGGGTTCTGGGTATTGTCTGCTTGGGATTCTAGGTTTCCTTTCGGGTTTCGGCACTTGGTTTCGAGGCTTTTTTTTTTTTGGGGGGGGGTCATTCATGAGAGCTTCGGGACTCTTTGGCTTCACGGAAACCTTGGGCTTCGGTTCAAGGGTTTAGGGTTCAGGGTTCAGGGTTTAGGGTTTAGGGTTGAGGGTTGAGAGTTGAGGGTTCAGGGTTTAGGGTTGAGGGTTGAGGGTTTAGGGTTTAGGGTTGAGGGTCCAGGGTTTAGGGCCAG